GAAGGTATGCTTATCCCTTAAAGGCAGCATCCGCGACTATTCGCCATCTCAAATAGTGGATTAGGGGGTTCCATATAGACGACAAGGGGTTGAGTAACTCGACAGTGAAGAAAAAAGCACAAAAAACATGCCACCTGCCCTAGATAGAACCCCATTTTGATCCCAGTTTGTACGTGCCCAATTAACTCTATCTCCCACACTACGCCCTCATACGCACAGCTGATTCACCGATAAGAACTCTACGATCGTACAAGTGACGATTTTCATGCTTTTTCGTCCTGCAATCTCGTTTTTCACTGAAAGCCGGGCATTGGAGGCGGAGTCTGGAGGCGGAGTCACTGGAAAAAAGGAGGAACCACTGAACCTATATTGCGCTATAGCGCCCCTCCCTTGGAATTCATTGTCGCGAAACCGGTACAAACGCTCTAACCTCCTGACGCCATATTTTCACTGCGAAACCTGATCGCGGACCGTACCTTTGAGCGCGTGTTCTGCTTCGAACAGACTATTAACGAAAGTTAATATGGAACTATACTGTTAACAAAACGCGTAATAGATCATGAAATACACTAACAACCCATTATAACAATTTGAACTATCGGGAGAATCAAGAGAAGGGGGTTAGGGCATGATTAGCAAGCAGCGAAATTAACCGGGACGAAGCATGTGACGTGGTAGCGCAACGGTCCATAAAGCCGTGGATGACATGACGAAATAAGCATCGCCCAGTAAGACAACACGAGAGCGACTGATTGGTTGCGCGGAATGAGACCAGAGAAGCAGAATGGTTCCCGCGCTTTGAGCTTCTTCCATCATTCAAATACATGCTTACGGTAGGATGGCGACTGGAGCATGTTTTTCTTGAGACGCATATCAGAGACACTTCCAGGATATACGCAAGTCACAACAAGCCTGGCGTAGCGTCGTTCGCTCCTATGACCCATAGATTCAACGTAGAAGTGCCACATGGTGTTGACTTACTCATGCGGCTAGTTTGGGCCTACCTCGGCTTAGTAGCGGTATCTGCGAAGCTTGTGCAAATGGCTCATGTGTACCATTTCGCCGCTGCATAATGCTTTAAAAGTCCACCAAAAATTTCTTAACACGAACTAATAGAACGAACTAGAGAAAGTTGTGAACGTCCCTCCGCTCGAGCGCCGCGCCTTAATTTGCTAGTTTAAGTATGGCAGTGACGTTCTGCACCCCTTCTGGTATGTCACGAAATGTTGGGAACTCACTTATACCTGCACCAAACTTCTGAAATTTTTCCAAAAGCTTCACCTTGAATGTGACTATAGCACTGGGAGACGTGCAACAGAATCGTCCGGGCACCGCGGCACGCGGCGCGTCGCGCGGCGAATGACTCAGCAGCTCACTTACGTGCATTTGCTAGCCGATAGCTTTGCGACTGGAGCAAATGATTTACTACAGCGTACATCCGCAACATTTAGCAGGTTTCATCAATGATTGAAAATCTAATGATGTTTTTCTTGATAGTAACACACAATTGTTTGGCGGTTCCATAAACGCAACTTCAGGAAATAAACAGATACAAAAGAAATCAGATAAGGCCGTGATTCTCCCTATGTTTATGTGGTTCACATGATTTGCGCAGTCGCCAGCGTCAATATAATAGACGGATGGCCAAGTTTTTCTGTGAGCTGCTGTAAAAGATGAAAACCAGAGCACGAGACCCCAATGAATTTCGTGTGCTCTATTGAACTTTTCCATACTCTAACTGAAAACTTAATCGTAACTGAACACTTGGGTGATATCAGTATTTACCTTCCCTTCAATAACCCTATTCAAACCGCCAGAAGCACGCTTCGTCTTCTCGCCGCAAGTATGTCGCAGGCCACGCCCACCAGCTGCCCGGACGATTCTGTTGCTACACACCCCTATAGCACTATAGTGCGTCTCGCTACGGCACAGAGGCCGTCGAGCTGAATGCATCTGAGCAGCTCCGTGGTTTAATAGACAGCGCATACGCTTGTATAGCGAGGAATGTCAGTTCGAATCTCACCTGGGGTGTGACTCTTGCTCATAACTCAGCAATCTCGTAGTACATAAGTGATCTGTTTTCAGAGGTTGTGCACCAGCAACATGGAATCGGCAGTATCTGTAGCTAGACGTCGACAAGATATCGCATTTTTCGTTCAGGTTAGTATCGGCTGTTTGCGGAAATAATATAAGATTGATCAAAAAGTCCTGCGACTATCAAGAAGAAAGTGACAATTGTTTCCAATGTGTTCTGCACCGCTTGTTGGATGATTTTCTACTCTATAGACAGTGTGTCGACACAAAAAAGAGTTTACGACAACTTTTTGCACTTTATCTCGGCTCTCAAATTACAGAAGAAGCTCAAAACTTGTGATATATATGACCAAGGAGAGATGCTCCTTATGACAGCTTGAAGTTGGTTCAAGCGATCAAGAGATGGGAATTCAGACCCTAACAAAGAGCATAGCGTGGGAATCCCTCTTGGCGAAAGACGCCTGCAAAACATTCCCGCTAAGCTTTGAGCGTCCGACATCAACTGAGGACGATGCTCGCTAATGATCCTACTATATATAATCCGCTAAGTTTGTCTGTTGGTGTGTGTGTGTGTGAATGTATGTTTGTGTGTCTGTATGTGTGTTTGACCGGAAATTCATAACTTCCTTCAAAACAGCGATTGTGCGCTCAAACTGATAAGTGATGTAGGAGGTCGGGCAGGAACACTATTGGTAGGTGGCAGGAAGTGATAAGAGCTGATAAGATAACATAAGGAGCCTTAGAAGGGAAGGGCCACTAAATTCATAGCGCCGGCCACAGCAACGTCGGGACGTTGGTTCCAAGCAGTAAGATAGGGGGCAGGATGGGAACATTAGTGGTGAGTGGTAGGAAGTGATAACAGATGATAAGATACCATAAGGAGCCTTAGAAGGGAAGGGCCACTAAATTCATAGCGCCGGCTACGCGGTAAGATGGGGGGCAGGATGGGAACATTAGTGGTGGGTGGCAGGAAGTGATAACAGATGATAAGATACCATAAGAAGTCTAAGAATCGAA